CACACACACAAGGATGACTCGCACTATCCACATAGGAAGTTGTAAACTGTCAACTATCAAAATAGAAGGAGTAGGAATTGTTATTTCTCTTCCCAATGGCTCTCCTCCCTTCGCCCTCCTTGATTCAAACCATAACAAGAAAGACAGTTGAAATGTGAGGTAGGGACGGGGTGTGGAAGGGTTTGATATCTGTTATCGAGATGCACTGTCATGTTGCTTCACCCACTGAAGGACTAGAACGCCTGCTTCATAGGCAATGTGTTGAATGGTTATTTTAAGACTACCTCTTACTCGCAGATACTAATCACTGTTAGTCCTTTTTATTGTCACCCATATACCTTGTCGTGTTTAGTGCAGATAAACACAAAACAATCATACGAACTGAGCTTTACGCGACCCCTATGAGTCGTCTGCGGTTTAAATAGAAGCCTAAGAACTAGACGTGTGCTTTAGGTGTTATTGGTTAAGATGGACATAAATACCCTAGCGTCGGCCACCTGTTAATATTTGTAAACAATACATTATACGCGCCTTTATTGTCTGAAGGCATTGTCTATTTTAATCAACTGTTTGAAGTGTACTATCGACGGGCCATTTCTTAATTGCATGTGGTGGCACCGAACTGGGAAACCTAGTCTTTGAAATTCACTTCTCAATATGGCGACTAGCATGGACATTACTGCAGATTGGGCTCTCAACAGATGGGCAATAAAAATGAACATTTCATTCAGTAGTTTCTGAATTTTGCTAACAGAGGAGGGACGTTCTCGACGATAGCAAACTCACCGATGACCTTGATATTGAACTCAGCAGAGTTATGTCCAAAACCATTGACGGCACTGCAGATGTAGCGCCCGGAGACGGCGAGACTGTCAGCCTTTAGAGAGTACACTTGGTCCTCAGAGAGGATCCAGGAGGTCTGTGCAGAGGGCGTCCATTTGTAAAAGGGGGTTGTGTAGGGGCAGGTGAGATTAATTGTATCTCCCAGGAGCACAAGATAGCTGCGTCGATAGTCGATACGATATTGCAGGGATGCTGTGTAGCCTGTTAAGGAGAAGATAGAAGTCAGGATGACAGACATAATGTGTGAAAAGTAAAGCTATAAAATACGCGGAACAGGAAGACAAGATTCTCCTTCTCGTTGATGAACGTCCATCTGAGGGCTAAGGGAACTCATCTGTCCCGCTCTGCCTTGCGCCTCGACGGAGGCCCTGACAGCCGTAACAGCTGGTAGTAGGCAGACAGTATTGCTGACAAAGACAAGGAATACTGGAATGGACATTTCTGAATTTTTAGCTCAGCGAAGAGCTGCATCTGGCCTTTCCAGGCAGGGAGCAAACTTAAGGTCTACCCTGCTGTCTTTGTCAAGTAATGGATGATGTTTAAGTTCTCCAAATATTCTCATGTTTGACTTGAAAAGTTTTTTTCGGCAAATTTATGTTTTCGGCAATTCATCCTCAGGCTAATACGCGTGCATGGGTGATGAAAATGGACAGGTTGAATAAGTATCTTTTGATTACAACTCATCGTTTTCACGCCGCCCACATGGCGAGGTCGGCGTGAAGAGGTCATTGCGCTGGGGAGTGGGGGGGAGGGGAGGAAATAGGGATAGGTTGAGAGGATTGGTCATGGGTCAGGAACGTGAAGTGATAATCGCTGTCATTTACACGGAGTGAACGGCTGTCAATAGGGGGTGGGAAGAATATGCTATCGCCATCGGGCGTCGTCATCGGCCACGAAAGTGGCGAAACTGTTGCCGAAGCCGTTAGAGTCTTATTACTCATAGGCGGGCTACTTTCGGGGAGAACTCTCGACTGCCTGATTAATAAGACTATAATGGTCGGAGATTGAATTACCTGTAGAACATATATTCCACGAAGTGGTAAACGAGTTAAACAAGCCCCGGCTTGTTTTCCTTTTAGCACTACGTCCATCCTACCC